AATAATAATAAATAAAATATTTTTAAAGGTTTATTTTATTCATAATTATATGTTTGTGCCTGTGTATGGGTATGAGCACATGAGTGCAGGTGCCCTCAGGCCAGAAGAGTGTCAGATCCCCTGGACCTGGTGTTACAGGTGATTGCGAGCTGCCAGATGTGGGTGCTGGGAGCTATTTCTCTAGTCCCTAGCATGTGTGTGTATGTGGTGTGTGTGGTTTGTATTTCCCATAAGGACTGTTCATATTATTTGCATATTTTTATTGGATTATTGGTTATCTTGTTACTGATCTGTGAAACATAATGAAGTAGTTAGCTTTTTGTCTATAAGTTACATTTATTGTTTTCCAGTCTAACATTTACATGTTGATATTGCTTTTATTGGTTTTGCTACAAAGAATTTATTTATTGGTGATGCTAGAGATGGAACCCAAAGTCTACCATATGCTAGGCAAGCACTTTACCACTAAACTGTATCCCCACCCCTATGAACTCAAATCTATTATCCTTTTATGAATTCTGGGATTTTGTAATATTTTATTTTTTATTTTATGTATGAGTGTATTGCCTGCATTATGTAAGTACTCTTCTGTCACGCAGTGCCATAGAGGTCAGAAGAGGGCATCAGGTCCCCTGGAACTGGAGTTAGGGATGGTTTTTAGCCACCATATGGGTGCTGGGATTCTATCCCAAGTCCTTGCTCTTAACCACTGAGCTATCTCTCCAGCCCAGAGGGATTTTTTATTTTTTTTTTTTCTTTTTTCAGGTAGGGTCTCCCTGTAGCCCTAGCTGTCCTGGAACTCACCTTGCAGACCAGGCTGACCTTGACCTTGCCCTCACAGAGATCTCCCTGTCTCTGCTTCCTGCATCAAAGATGAGCACCACCACAGCCAGCTGTTGAGCTAACGTTTTTCCTCAAAAGCTAACTACTTGTTACAGTACTCTTTGAATAATCCCTTTTTTCTACAATAATTTGAGATGGCTACTTCTCTGGTTATTATTGGTCCTTGCCAACTTGATGGGCGATAAGGTATTCCTTTTTTGCCTTCATTTTCATATATCTGGATATTCATTTAGAAATTAACTATCTGTTTTCCAGTCTACATCTTGACTATTATGTTTCTTTATATTTACTTATTTATTTCCTGGAGGCAAGGGCTGGGGCTCAAACCTAGAGCCTCTCAAATGCTTCTCCTGAGTTACTTCATCTCCCAGCACACCCTTTGTTACATGCAGTATTTTGTTTGCAAGTATTTTCCTCTGTCTTTTCACTTCCCTTCAGTATTATTGGTGGTTGAAACTGTGTCTAATGCTACTATATTCAAAGTGCTGAATACATTTTCTCACTGGTCTTCACAGCTTTGCTCTATGGTAAAAGTGAAAGGGAAGCAGCTAGAGCAAAGCTTCAGTGACTTTCCCAGTTTCATTCAGTCTTCAGTAGTAGAGCTCCCATTATCTGAAAACAATTAAAGATGCCAGTTTCCACTGTACCTGTAACCAGCTCTTTGTTTTCCAGGGCATTTCCCATTCAAGGCCTGACACTGAGGACATTTCCCTGTGTTATGCCAATCGCTCTGCATCCCTTTTCCATCTGGGTCAGTATGAAGTAAGTATCAGGGTGCCTGGGTCATGCCTGAATCTTCACTGGAAGATAAGGCCTGATCTTTTTCTTCCACTCCCAGTAAAATTAGTAGGCTTGGAAGCACAGTGATATCCACCAAAGCTTGTTCTTTCTCCTGATTCATTTCACCTGTCTTGGACGACCATAAGGAATGGTGTTGGTTGACAAGAAAAAGCTATGGCGCACTCCTTGGAGCATGAACTGCATCCAATGGGCCAGCAGTTCATGGTGTCTATCAGCTAGATATGTTGCTAACAGTATATCAGATTCCAAGTGTGTCCAGCTATTAACTTGTTCATTTACTTCTAAATAAGCTGAGCACATTTAAGGCTGTCCCCATAGTATATTAGCACTTCCTGAGTAAGCATTGAGAGTGTGAAAGTAAAAGGTGCCCTGAAATGCTTGTGGATGCCTAAGAGGTAGGCTTGCTGGGAGTGACTCTTCTCATCCCCTAATTGTGGGAATAACAAAGTCCAGAATTACATCAGTGGAGTTTAAAACAGGAAATGACGAAAATCAGATTTGTTTTAGGAAGATACTTGTGAGACCTCTGAAATGTGTAATAGAGAAGTCTAAAAACAAGCTCTAAAATAGCATGAGTTCATCCACTTAAGAATTCTATAGAAGGGCTGGAGAGCTGGCTTAGTGGTTAAGACTGACTGCTCTTGCAGAGGACCCGGTTCAATTCCTAGCACCTACATGGCAGCTAACAACCATCTATAACTCCAGTTCCAGGGGATCTGGTGCCCTCTTCTAGCCTCTGTGGGCACTGTACAACACAGTGCACTTATATACATACAGGCAAACCACTCATAAGTATAAAATAAAAGTAAATAATTTTTTCTTAAATAAATAAAAAAAAGAATTCTACAGAAATTCAACTTATTCTAGAGTTAAGGATTTTTGGAATTGTAAGGTCATTTCAATTGCAGAAACTAATAAAGTATTTTCTAAATAATGAAGAAAAAAAATGCAAGAATCTGATTCTAGGTCCTAAAGGAGAAAGTCTGGATAACTGAGGACAAGCTTAGAACAACTTGTGAAACATTTAACCCTCTGTCATTTCTCTATATTGATTGCTTTGGAGTTACTTCTAATAATGATGACCATTTATTGAACACATTCTGTGTTTCAAGTGTTCCTTTCATCACTTGATACATTCCTTTATCTCATCCTTAAAATAACCTTGTATGGTATTATGCCTTTTTCAGATGAGAAAATGAAAACCTTGAAAAAGTAAGTTGCTCTTTTCTAAGCTTCCTCTTTGTGATATAGGCACACTTCTTTGGCTTCAAAGTCTGCTCTCTTGGGGCTGGAGAGATGGCTCAGCGGTTAAGAGCACTGACTGCTCTTGCAGAGGACCCGGGTTCAATTTCCAGCACCCACATGGCAGCTAAAAACTGTCCTTAACTCCACTTCCAAGGGAATCCGAAGCCCTCTTCTGACCTCCTCGGTATTGCACGACATGGATCTCTGTGAGTTCAAGACCAGCCTGGTCTATATAGTGAGTTCCAGGCCAGCTGGGGCTACAAGGAGACCCTGTCTCAAAAACAATGTGGAGACTGGAGAAATGGCTCAGCAGTTAGAGCACTGGCTGATCTTGCAGAGGACCTAGGTTTGGTTCCCTGCATCCACATGGTGGCTAACAGTGGTCCATAACTCTAGTTCCAAGGGATCCAATGGCCTCTTCTGTCCTCTGTGGGCATTGCACGACACAGGTGCACTTACTTACATGCAGGCAATAAACTCATACACATAAAATAAAAATAATAAAATTTAAAAAACTAATTAAAAAATTAGACATAATATTCTCAACAAGTATTGCTAATCACTCAATTTAGGTGTCTCACAGGAGCCAGGCATGGCAGTACATGCCTTTAATCCCAGTAGTCAGGAGACAGAAGCAGGCAGACCTCTGTGAGTTCTAAATCAGCCAGGGCTACATAGACCCTGTCTTGGAAAAAAAAAAAAATCACATAGGGACTGGTGGTAGAATACATGTTTAACACGTGTGAGGCCCTTCAAAGGGTGGATGGAAGGGAGGGATGGAGAGAGGGAAGGAAGGCAGGAAGAGAGAACAGGGAGGAAAGGGAAAGGGGAGGGAAGGAGGAAGGAAAAGAAAAAGAAGAAAAGGTCATGGAACAGAATATAATTTAAAGGTCTGAGCTCTTGGTTGTGGTTGCTCCATTTTTAATACTCCTTTACATTCCTGTAGGTTTTTAAGTGTTTTCAATATATAGTGAAGAAACCAAGCTTCATCTTGGATTTTTTTTTTTTTTTCAGCTGTGTCTTGAAGACATAGTCAGAGCACAGATGCATGGGTATCCTGAAAGGCTGCAATGTAAGATTATGCTGCGTAAGGCAGAATGCCTGGTGAACCTGGGAAGATTACAGGAGGCAAGACAGGCCATCAGTGATCTTGAAAGCAACCTCACTGCCAAGTCAACTTTGGCTGTTTCCCCCTGTCAGACTCTGCAGAGAAACCTCCATCATCTGAAAATGAAGATGCAAGAAGAGAAGAATCCCCCAGAAACCTCAGACGCTCTCACCAAAGCCTTTGAAGATATGGACCTAAGAGAAGAGAATAAACAAATTTCCAAAGCATCGTTATGTGTCAGCTTATGCACAGACCCTTTGAAAGGCCGCTGTCTAGTTGCCACCAGAGACATTCACCCAGGGGAACTCCTGGTGAAGGAAGATGCTTTTGTAAGTGTCCTTAACCCAGGCGAACTACTGCCACTGCATCTTGGCCTAGAGAACAAGTGGGATACCAGAGTTGCCAATGTGGACCTCTATTGCCACCGATGTCTGAAGCACACTTTGGCCACAGTGCCCTGTAGTGGATGCAGCTATGCCAAGTACTGTAGCCAAGAGTGTATGCAGCAGGCATGGGAGCACTATCACAGCACGGAGTGTTCTCTAGGGGGGCTGCTTCTCACGCTCGGGGTCTTTTGCCACCTTGCACTGAGGTTGACTCTTTTAGCTAGATTTGAGGATGTTGACAGAGTTGTAAGGAAGCTTTGTGATGAGACTGACAACAAAGACATCTGTTTATCTGGAAACAAGAATCTGGTCAAGACATTTAATTACACAAATTTCAGGGAGAGTGAGGAGAAAAGCAAAATAGTTGAGACACCAATTCCCGGGTGTAATGTTAATGGGAAGTATGAAAATAATTATAATGCTGTCTTCAACCTTTTGTCCCATACTGAGAAGCATAGCCCAGAGCACAAATTCCTCTGTGCTGTCAGTGTCTCTGCACTGTGCAGGCAGCTCGAGGCAGCCAGCTTGCAGGCCCAAACCACAGGCTTAAAGTCCTCTAAACTGAAAGCCGCAGTGACTCCTGGATTGTGTGCAGATTTCACTCTTTGGGGAGTGGCCATGCTGCGACACATGCTACAGCTGCAGTGTAATGCTCAAGCGATAACCTCCATACAGCACACAGGTAAGATAAATCTGACTTTTGCTGTATATTATTGGTCTTGCTAGAACTAATGTTTAGGGAGAGAGTGTTCTAGTTTGTTTTTCTGTTACTGGGACTAAAACACCACAACCAAAAGCAACTTGGGGAGCAAAGGGTTTATTTCTGCTTACAACTTTCAGTCTCACTGAGGGATGCCAGAGCAGGGGCTCGAGGTAGGAACCTGGAGGCAGAAACTGAATGAAGCAGAGACTGTGAAGGGATGTGGTCGCTTCCCCTGGCTTATTCAACCACCTTCCTTCCTTCCTTCCTTCCTTCCTTCCTTCCTTCCTTCCTTCTCCCCCTCCCCCTCCCCCTCACCCACATGATAGCTACAAACTGTCCTTAACTCCAGTTCCAGGGGAATCCGAAGCCCTCTTCTGACCTCTGCGGCACTGCATGCCACAGGTGAACTCACATGCATGTAGACAATACACTCATACACATAAAATGAAAACAATAAAATAAAATTTTGAAAAAAGAAAAGATTTACCTTTATCACAGCTTTACCCCCGTTTTTTTCTTTCTTTCCTTTTTTTTTCCTTTTTCTTTTTGAGACACGGTCTCACTATGTAGTCCTGGCTGGAACTCACTATGTAGAACAGGCTGGCCTTGAATTTACAGAGATCCTCCTGCCTCTGCCTCCCTGCCTCTGCCTCCCAAGTGCTAAAATTAAAAGTGTACACCACTATGCCTAGCCCTCAGCTACCTTTCTTATATAGCCCAGCCCCAGCTGCCTAGGGATGGCACTGCCCACAGTGGGCTGAGCCCTCCCACATCAGCTAGAAATTGAGAAAATTCCTCACAGACATAGCCACAGGCATTTCTGATGGAGACAGTTCTTCAGTTGAGGTGCCTTCTTCCAAGGTGACTCAAGTTTGGGTCAAATTGACAAAAACAAACTAGCACAAAGGGCCTAGAGAGATGGCTCAGTGGGTAATGCACTTGCTGAACAGCATGAGATCTGGATTTAGGATCCCCAGCACCCATGTAAATACTGAGTAAGTATGATGGCCCACCTATAATCCCTGCATACTGGAGACAGGACACAGGATCCTTGGAGCAAGCTGGCCAGCTAGATTAGCCAAATTGTTGAGCTCTGGATTCAAGTGAGAGACCCTGCCTCCATATATAAGGTGGAGAGTAATGGAGGAAGATATTCAATGTTAATCTCTGGCCTCCACAACACAAATGTGCCTCCAGAGACATGTGAACACACACACATAAACACACAGACACAAGAAAAAAAAAGAAGAAAAATGCCTATGATTCTATTATTTTATTATACTTTTCTTAACTTTTCTAGTTAATTCTACCGAGAAACTAGATGTTAGCTAAACCTAGGATTTATTGACAGATTTATATTCAGCATAGCCTAACTAAGCTATAGAAGCTTAGGTCTTCAGCCTTTTCACATTATGTTGGATGTGGGTTTGTATATATTAATTCAACTGCCAAGTTATATGGTAGGTAGGCATTTTACCAGAGGTATTTGGGACATGATTCTCTTCCCTATCCCAAAGCCATGGAATTCAAAAACTAGCACTTAATCTGGTCCATTGTTCTATTAAGCCACATTTCAAGTTAGTCTGTTTTCTTTTCTGCTCTCATTGAGCCACTGCTGCCAGTGGAAACAAAAGCACCCTAAATTGGTCTAGTGAGAGGGTTCAACAGGTAAAGATGCTTGCCGCCAAGCCCAGTGACTCAAGGTCAATCCCTGGGATCCACATGGTAGAAGGGAAGAACTGACTCCCACAAGTTGCCTTCTGGACCCCACCTCTACCCCCACATGCATGTGTACCTCTCCCTCTGCAAATAAGTAAAGATCTCTGTGTGTGTGTGTGTGTGTGTGTGTGTGGTCAGGACACCTCTTCGGGAGCTGGTTCTCTCCTTCTACCTTGTTTTTGAGGCAGACTCTCTTCCTTTGCCCCTGCACTGCACATACGGACTTCAGGCTGATTCTGCTGTCTCCACCTCCCATCTTGCCACGAGAGTGCTGAGATTACAGATGTGAACTGCCATATCTGGCTTTTTTTTTTAACATGGGCACCAAGGATCAAACTCAGGTCAGCAACACGTGTGTGGCAAATGCTTTTTTCCCACTGAGCCATCTCACTAGCCCCAGAAAAACTTTTTCAATAAACAACTCAGGAAGCAAAGATAGGCAGTAAAAATGAGTCTGTAAAATATAAGTGGGCTAAACTCTGCCATTAAGCATTCATTTAAAATGGATTTAAAAAATTAAAATCCTTTTTTGTATTCCATTTACAAGTGACTGCTAGAACAATAACACCAAGTATTGGGGCAAATCCTATCAAGAATCACAAGCAAACTAGGGTGTTGATGTTAATATGAAACAGCAGAACTCAAGGTAAGATATCTAATAAAACAAAGGAAGCATTTTATTTTTGTAAAGGAGACTTTCCATACTGAAATATATTATCAGCCTTAGCTCTCAGAAACAGATTGTATCTATAAAACAAAAATGGTTAAGTGTATAAGGAACAGCTTGGCAAAAACCCCATTGTTGTGAGAAAATTTAGTACACCATTCTGACTTTGACTGAGCAAATATATTAAGGATCTAGAAACCAAGATAGCATAATAAGCTAGAGGATTTAGTAGCTATATCTATCTATCAAAACTTGTATCCCATAGATCAGAAGTCACAAATTTTTGGGGAAAGCACCAGATGGTATAAATACTTTAGGTTTTGCAGGCCATGCAGTCTCTGCGCACTTTGCCTCTGCCACATAGCATGTAGACAGCTGTGAAAATGCACAAACCCAGGAGCATGACTGGGTTTCTATAAAAGTTCATTATAAAGCCAGGTATGGCAAGGCACACCTTTGATCCCAGTACTGGGAGGCAGAGGCAGGCAAATCTCTGTGAGCTTCAGGCCAGCCTGGTCTACACGGTGAGTTCCAGACCAGCTGGGGCTACAGTGGGACCCTGTCTCAAAGAAAAAAAATCATTATAAACACTGAAACTTAAATATTTTGTATTTTTCTACACTCAGGAGAAATATTTGGGGTTTGTTTTTACCAGTTAAACATGTTAAAAAAAAAAAAAAAAAAGTTATGGTGATGGTCAGTGGTTAAAACCCTGCTATACAAGCATGAGAACCAGAGTTGGAATCCTCAAAACCACCTAAAACCGGTATAGTAACATATATCTATAATTTCAGTGCTACTGCAGCAAGATGGGAAGAAGAGACAGGAAAATCCTGTAAGTCCCTGAACCAGCTAGCTTGGCACACACAGCAGTGAACACCAAAGAGACTTTGTTTCAAACAAGGTAGAAGGTGAACATGACACCCAAAGTTGTCCCCTGACTGCCACACACTTCACACACAAATGTGCACACACATAATATGTACACATATATATACACAGAAAGTATAAAAATTGTTATTAGGCCCTGGGTTTTATAAAAATAGGCAACAGACAGAATTTGGTATTTAGGCTGCAGTTTGGGGTTTCTGATATAGACAAAGATCTGACAAAACTAATTAAGAGACCTGGGCATGGTAGCATACATCTTTAATCCTAGCACTGGGAGGCAGAAGTGTGCAGATCTCTCTGAGATCAAGGCCAGCCTGGTTTACATAATGAGTTCCAAACCGGCTGAGGCTACAGGGAGACTCTGTCTCAAAAAGACCAAAAAACAACAACAAAAAAAAAAACTAAGAAAGTTCGACCCAGGGTCCTAGGGAAGTGGCTCAGTGGATAAAAGTGCTTACTACATAAGCATAAAGGCCTGAGTTCAGATACCCAGCACCTACATAAAAGACCAGGCACAGCAAAAACATATACCTGTAATCCCATCACTGGAGAGGCAGAGACAAGAGGATCCTGGGGACTCACCTACCAGCCAGTCTACATAGTCAGTGAGCCTCAAATGAACCAGTGAAAGACCCTGTCTCAAAAAAAGGTGGAGAGTGATGAAGGAAGACATCCGATGTCAACCCCCATCCTCAACAAGCATACTCAAGGGTATGTGAGTACACATACACACAAACACATGCACACAGAAATCTGTGAGTTTGGAGAGATGGCTCAGCACTTAAGAGTGTGTTCTGCTCTTCTAGAGAACCTGAGTTCAGTTCCCAACACCGACATCAGTTTGCTCACAGCTACCTGTAACTCCAGCTCCAGGGAGATCTGATACCTCTGACCTCCCTGGGCACCTGCACTTATGTGCACATACCTGTAAGCCCACATAATTTAAAATAAAATATTTTCTTTTTTTAAAGAAATCTATAAGCCAGGCCTGGTGGCACACACCTTTGATCCCAGCACTCCAAAGGTAGAGGCAGGCAGATCTCTGTGAGTTTGAGGCCAGCCTGGTCTCCAAACTCACAGAGATCTGCCTACCTCTGTCTCCCGAGTGCTAGGATTAAAGGTGTGCGCCACCATGCCCTGCTTTATTTTATTATTTTTATGTGAGTGGAGAAATAATGATCAGGAGTTCAAGTTCAAGATTTTCATCTGCTGTATAATGAGTTTGAGGCCAGCCTGGGATACATGAGACCCCCCCCCACCCCACCCCCAAAAAAGATAGCCAGCGTGGTGGTGCAAGCCTTTAGACTCAGCACTTGGGAGGCAGGGGCAGGCAGATCTCTGTGAATTCAAGGCCAGCCTGGTCTACATAGTGAGTTCCAGGCCAGCTGGGGCTACAGGGAGACCCTGTCGTGTGACTCTCAACACCCTCTTCTTTCTTCCTTGGGTGCACACATATAGACATGTGTGCACACACACACACATTTTTTTTTTTTTTTTTTTTAGGTTTGATCCCTGGAACCCATGTAAAAGTGGAAGGAGAGAACTGACTCCCAAGGGTTGTCCTCTCACTTCCACATATGTGCCATGGCACAAATGTACCCATACTCACATACAACATACACACAATAATTAATTAAAAAATAATAAGTTGGGTGTGGTGGCTCATGCCTTTAATCCTAGCACTCGAGGCAGAGGGAAGCAG